GGGCTGGATTCGAACCCGCCACCTTAGGTATATGTGGCTGGTGCCTTATCCACTTGAGCCACAGGTGCCGAGCCAAAGTCCAGATTTTTGGAAAGAATGCACAACAAGCTAGGGAACAGCAGGAGAACGGGAAGGGAATATACGGTTTTCGGCTGCCATGTGGCTATTTTGCCAGGATATGAGTTTTATATTATTTTTGTTAATTTTATAATGTTAAACTTTAATAATAACAAATAATTGCTGAGAACTGATTATTGAGAACTGCTTATCAAAGTTCGCATTGTTGATCAGTTGTTAGAATTCAACGAGAAATATGCCAAAGAATAAAAATAATACTATACATAATTTTTTAATGTATTATATTTGTAAATTGTACTTATGTTGAAATTAAAAAAATATATAATACTATTTTTGCTTTCTATGAAAATTTTTATTGCTCCATATAGACCAAATTTTTAATTAAGAACACCATCCCCCACCCCACCCCTGTCAATGGTGTCCCGCTTTACCAATGTTAAAATCTGGTCACCTTACTCTATGGCTCACTCATTAGCTTGGGTAAGTTGTCTGTGGTCCTCATCAGTAAAACTGGAATTGTAATTCCTACTTCTCAGGGTTGTAGGATTGCACAGGACTGAACATGTGTGTAACAGCAGGTGTCCATGGTCGGTACAGAGCAGCACAGCACAGTCTGCAGGTGGGAGGCCTGGTTTCTAGGTGCCGCAGAGAGTTCGTGTTCTCAGACTAGTGTGCAGGGCATCCATCCACAGTCAGACAAGAGGGAGAACTGAGTTTAGCTGTGAGTTCGATTTTTGCTTGTAAGTAATTAATATTTCATCTTGTGTTTCAGAGGGGGTCATCTTAAATGAGAAGAACTTCCAGGGAGCTCTGGAGTTTAAGAATGTGCATTTTGCCTATCCAGCTCGCCTGGGGGCCCCCATATTTCAAGATTTCAGCCTTTCCATCCCATCAGGATCTGTCATGGCACTGGTTGGCCCAAGTGGTTCTGGCAAATCCACAGTGGTTTCACTCCTCTTAAGGTTGTATGACCCTGTTTCTGGTAAGTGGTTCACCATGCTATGGCTCAGGGGACATGCCCAAACCCTTCTCTTACTCCTATGCCCTGGGAGAGGATGCAACTATGCAGAGACCTTCTATCATGAGAGTCTTGAGTGCCACCAGCTTTCTTCCTGGGAAAGAAATCCCTCAAATAGAAGATGTCACTTGTAGGGGGATGACAGCTCCAACCAGGAACCTTGTATATTTTGTGTCCCAACTCTTCTGGTGTGGCTTGGCCTCCTGGATTCTCCCACCTCACCTGCCATGGTGTCATCTCCTCATGTGCCCTCTCCTGGGTGAGGCTGTGCCCAGCAGCTAAGAGCAGGGGCTCCATGTGCTGGGGGGCATCCTTGCCTACTGGGGAACACAGTTTTGTGCAGTGAATGTGAGTGCAGGGCCCTGGGGAGCTCCAGGAAAGCCTCTGTCAGTGGCCATTCTGTAGGTAACATGGAGATAGTCAAACTGACATCCAGGGACCCACTTCTGTGGGGCTGAAAGTACACCATTGAAAGTACTTTAAACTAGTAGGGATTTTCTTTCTTTCTTTCTTTCTTTCTTTTTTTTGCGGTTTTTGGCTGGGTCTGGGATTGAACCTGCCACCTCTTTTATATGGGGCTGGTGCCCTACTCCTTTG